GGAAGGAATACACGGCCAACGAGTACTACAAATTCAAGCTGAGCAACGAAATCGCAGACATGGAGAGATATTTGAAGAACAAGGCAGACATCCTCAACGAGCGCGTACTCTACGTGGACAGCAAGAAGGTAGCGAGCACGCACGTGCCAGAAGAGCAGTGGTCCGCAGAAGAGCACGCCCAATTCCTCGAATACTTCGCACTGTTCAACAAAAAATTCCACGTCATAGCGAAACTGCTCGGCAGAAACACCCAGGATGTTATTCAGCACTACTACTGCACGAAGAAAAGGGAGCGGTACAACAAGAGGAAGAACGGCAGGCTGTCCGACAGCAACCTTAAAGTTATGATTGACTTGGAGTGGACGGAAAGTGAGAGGAGCAAATTTGAACGGCTGTACGATTTTTATGGCAAGAATTGGAAGGCGTACGAGGGCAGTTTCATGGGAAAGGGTGTGAGCGATTTTAAGAATTATCACCGGTACTTGAGCAAGAATAAGGACGAGGAGAAGGAATGCAAGACGAGCTGCACTAAGAGCGTGGATGAGGGCACGGAGAGTGTGGCCGTGTGTGATAGCGGTGATAAGGAGAGCGTGGTGCACGCTGACGAGCACATAGAGGATGTACAGCCGTGCAAAGGCAGACGAAAGGCGGGTAGAACAGCAAAGAGTGCGGCAAGCAGGCGGCAGCCCAAGGTACCCGCAAGAAGGGGCAGGAAGAAGAGCCCAGCAACAAAACGCAGATTAAATTATAGCACGGTCAAGAGACCGAAGAACGATAAAGAAAACAACACAAACACGAAACAAAACGTGCTAGAAGACTGGACAATCGATGAACGACAGCTGTTTGCCATATTTTACCCGTACATCGGCAAGAACTGGAGCGATCTTTCGCAGTACATCACCACGAAGAAGCCCGGCGACTGCAGAACGTATTTTAAATTTTACTTCAAAAACTTGTCGCTTGCCGAGCAGAAATTGGAGGCTGCGATGAGAAACATAGAGAGGAGCACGCTCTCTGTGCCGGGCAGCCCGCGCAGACTGAACGATGATGATCTTATCGATGATGTAGGGATTATCTTTAAAAAATAGAGTGCGTGCATGTCCAGCCGTACACTGTACATATTTGTGTGGTATAATGGCCTAAACTGAGCCACACAATCATTTTATATTAGCACACCGTTCACGGTGTGCCTGTGAAAAACCGTTTTGTGTGATTTTGGTGCTTTTTAACGATGAACAAACACAATTATTAAATTTTTATACCACAGGAAATAAATTTTAAGGGCGTACCACATATGGTACGGCGTGCCGTCATACGTTATTGGCCATTATTTGGTTAACAATCCTTTTAATCAACTAAACTTATCGTTTCGTGTTAAAAGAGCCTTTCCAAACGGAAAGATTTAAAGCCATGGTTACAATCGGGAGAGAAATTAAATTAATCCCTTTCACTTAAGAAAAAGAGCCACATCTAAAAATCATGTGATTAGAATGTAAAACTTATCGTTGTGATGGCAACGCGCTCTTTTACCGTTTGTATTCTAAGCCTAAAAATGTGTTTGGTTAGATGAGCCGATGAAAGAGATAATTAAAATAACGTTTGTTTAGAAAAATGTATTCTAGGCCTTTAAATAAAACAGTTTAACACGAACTATCGTGTTACGTTTTCATTTACCCAACAGAAATGTTAAACGCTATCACACTACAACACGAATATTTAATCCTTAATGATTTCCATCCTCGATAATTTTTTTAAAATGATTATTTCTACTTTCCAGACTGATCATTTAACACCGTTTGATTAAGAAGCGCCCTTCACATCAAGTGGCTCCCTTAACTACGTAACGTACGGTGGACAGCATTCTCTTTATTTAATGGTAATTGGTAGTACTTGTTGTTATTACCGCTCATTCTCAATAAAAATTAAAATTAGGACGAGATTGTTTAATTGTTGTAAAATTAAAGTGATTTATTTAAAGGAGCTAAGATTCGTTTTATACTTTAGGAGAGTTCGTTTGATTGGCTGGTGTAAATCGAAATTTTATAAAATGAACCTTCGTAGAAAAATTCATTCTACACGGTGCTAATTCCCTATAGAAGAAGAATCAGGAGTATTAATTAATGATTTGGTACTGAAAATGCTGTATCTATTTCTAAATGCTAACAAACGCTTGGTAGCGTTAAACACGGTCATCTTCTTTTTAACTACGTTATACCCGTATCTCCCGTATTCACGTAAATTTCGTTTAATTGACGAGCGTTGGTACGCCAACGCCTTCTTACGGATAAAAACGCTTTTATTCGTATGACCAGGCTAAAGCTTTAATTAAAATGTAATACGGCAGAATATGTTCTGAAAGAGGTTCGGGCGATAATTGAAATACGCATTTTGTTACTTAAGACGAATATTTTATCTAAGATTGAGATAAGAATTAAGTATTCTTAGCAAATAATGAAAGATTCAGAACTTTAAAACACTGAAAATGACCGGTTAAATCATTTCTAGGCATTTCTCTGCTCCTAACGATTAAACTCGTCAATAAAGAATCTACGCAGAGCGTTTATTTCACCAGCAAGACACTAAATCATGTACCACACCCGTACAACAACTACCACTGCCAGTAATACAAAAATGCATTCTGGTACAATGCTCATCACGTAAATGCTTCTGTCGTTTAAGGTGTTTTCTATTTTACGTAAATATTTGATGCTTTGAATTTCGAGCTCGTCGGTTTGGCCTGCGTTCATTTATGCGTTGGATATTGTTCGTTGATATAAAAATAGGAAAATTGTTTATTTGGTGAATTTTTAAAGGAGGAAAGTTAAATTTAATAGTGGTGTTATTTTTTTGTATA